CAGAGCCTGGTTCGGATGGAGGTTCTCTGACTGTTCAAAATGAGTTCTTCCATCTCACAACTTCTTGTTCACATGATCGACTGATCGTTGGGGTTCACCCTCTGATGTTGCCCTGCACTACAAAGCACACTGAGGTTACTAATACGGTCACTTTATTTATGCCAAGGCTCACCTCTGCTAAAAGAAGTCAGTGATTTAGACCTCTCTTCCCTGTTTGAAGCAACTGAATTACAAATTATCTGTCAAATGACATCTTTTGCTGTGAGGCAGACACCAGCCAAGAAGTCTGTATGAGTGAGATGACATGCCTGTATTTTATTTCAGATTAGCAGACATGAGAGATGCATTCATGGGAAATTGCTAAACACACCCTCTCCTCCCTCTCATTCAGATATGGTCACTTCCGGCTCCTTAACACGACCAGAGTCAAGTCAGGGATGTTATTGCTGCTGCGTACTTTTAAGTACAGTGTATGGACATGCTCAGTGGTAAACAGTCAGAGGAATGACCTTTGCATTCAGTCATGCACCTTTACAGAATAGAATGCATTGGTGCAAATTAACAGACGCATAAAGAAGGTAAAATGAGCCATTTGCTGCTCATATCTTGTAAATTGGTGCGAGATGAATCAAAGTGAACGTTCAGTCCTCTTGCAGCTCCTCAGTCCTCCTGTAGGAGGCGCAGCTCATTACAAACGACCGAGTGTGGAGTGTGGAGGCTCGTCTGTTGTTCGTGTTTCTCCGTCCGCTTATTGATCAGCAGATTTTTGTTTACAGCGGAAGCTCCACATCCGGGGATGTAGAGCAGCCCGCCCCCTCCCTGCTGCTGCAGCATCCTCTCATCCGGCAGACAGACAGGTGGAGCTCCTCCCGCAGACAGACAGGTGCACGGACAGACAGGTGGAGCTCCTCACGCTGCAGGTTGGTTGATGCCGTTTTTCTCTTTTTACCGGATGAATACGGCTGCGGCTCGTGCCGTTTCTGTGCTCGGTAAATCACGGGGTGATGATGTGACGTTGGTCTGTAGGTGATCTGATGTTTATCGGCCGCTGATTGGCTGTCGGTCGCTCTGATTCTGCATCTTTTCGTGTTCTCGGTATCAACCCCGGTTTTTCCCCACTTGGTCCTTGCAGAATTTCTCTGCAGGCTGTCCTGAGCGTCGGTGTCTGTGCTCGATGATGCAGAGCGAGACTCCCCCTGTGCCTCTGTGATTCACTGATGCTCCGTCTGTGCATCTAGGGCTTCACGATTAATCGAATTTTAAATCTCGAACACGATTTTGGCTTCCCATAAATGCACGCGCTCCCGTAATCAGCACCTGACCACGTGCCTGCATGTGCCAATCATAGCTGTTCCCTGAGCCTGCACAGCTGAGAATCTCAGGTAGAGCTCCTGCCGCTACACCTGTCTCCACCTCTCATTCACGTTGTGCAGGTGCAGTGACTGGAGTGGAGGATTTTAATCTCAGATAATACACCGGACTATCATTTATGAAAGGATGCAGGTTTTTTTAATAGAGCATTTTCCATTTCGTGCTATAATCTGCTGATATGTTTTGAACCTACGGTGAAGGAAACGAGTACGATGCTGTAATAAAATCTGATTATAAGCCTTTTAAAGTAATCGAAGGTCTAACGTAGTTCAGTTTGTATTAGTTTTGGTC